TCACCCCAGTCTTCTTCTGGGTTCCGAGTCTTCGGCTGCTTGATTGGCCGGGTCCAGATGACGTAACTCCCGAGCATGTACTTCCTCTTGGCGTCAATCTTTGTCCGATTTGCTGGTTGCTGGAGCTCCTCGCTGGGGGGTCATCCAGATGATGCCACGGCAGTGACACACCATCATGGAGGAACCAGAAGTCCCGGCGTGGTTAGAGAGGCAGAGCGGACCTTATCCTGGCCAAATCTTCACCTTCCATCCGAGCCTGAGCCTTCCTCAGCCGGCAATGCCTAGACCCGGGGGAGTGATCCCTACACTTGGAGGTGTTCCAGGACCTGTGCTACAGGATGTGGACCTTCTGGCCTCCAGGTTCAGTAACAAACTGGACAGGTTTGTCTGCAGATACAGAGATCCTCTGGTGGCTCCGTGGGATCCCTACACCCCAATCTATGTCTCTTCCTCATCCGCCTGGCAGAATTGAGATGAAGAACATCATGGCCTGGCTCTGGATTGGCCCAGGTGGATGTAGTTCTCTGACCTGCTCAGACTCCTGATTGTCCGCATCGTAAGGACCAATTTTCCGTCCTGCCTCACAGTGGCCGGCTTCCATGACGTGGCTGAAGCTCGGGTTCTGCGGGTCAGAGTCGTCTCTGGATTGGTGATCCCCGTGATGGAGTCCATTGTTCCCCCCGTATGTGGAAGGCGGAGTTCTCTTGGTGCTCAGCACTTTGTTTGATGAAGACCTGTGGGCAGAGCGTCCCCCATGTGGCTCTCCCTCTTGGCTCTGTGGCCTTTCTTGTTGCAATCACCTGTACGAGGCGAGTGTCAGAGTCGGCAGCCTCACCCTGTCTGTAGAGAGCCTTGTTCTGGTCTTGGACAAGGTGGGATTACGGGCCAGAACTTCCTTCCTACCTGAGGTCATGCCAGATGGTCCCAGTAAAGGAGCACCAGCTTCTCCTTCCACCATTCCCCGGTGGCCTAAACAGACCATTAGCCAAGCCTATCCCAGCCCGTGGTCTCCAGGATTGGGTGCCAACCTCTCACGTCAAGGCGGACTCTACTAGACCTGGAAGTGGCCTCTTGGGTTCCACTTTCTCAGATTGGTAAAATGGCCGCCTGGATCACAGGTTCTCCAAGTTCTTCCAGGTTCAGGCCTCATCTGATGCATCTCTGGGCATAAGATCCTCCAGGCTGCTCTTTGAGCCTCAGGCAGTCCACGCTTCTTTCGTGGTGAGCCGGCCGGTTGCCCAACCCTCAGTTGGACTGCTTTTGGATGTCCCGGCAGACTTCCTGCTTCCCTCAATGGGCGAGAAAGACCATAACTTCCTTTTCTTGGAGTCCATTGAAGGACACGGGTCCCGCCCCTCTGTTTATGATCGTGCTGGGAGTGGGAGGCGTGGTCCTGGGCTGACCTATCATTTGTAGGTTTCCTGGTCTTCAGTCCTCCTGGAGGCACCTGATGGTGAAAGACTTCTTCTGTCGCTCAATGGTCTCCAAGAAAAGGATTTCCCCGTCAGGTCCTCTCTTCTGTATCTGACGTGGTCTCTGTCCTCTCTGTAACTCTGTTCTCTCCTCTGTATCTGACGTGGTCTCTGTCCTCTCCTCTGTATCTGACGTGGTCTCTGTCCTCTCCTCTGTATCTGACGTGGTCTCTGTTCTCCTTTATCTGACGTGGTCTCTGTCCTCTCTGTATCTGACGTGGTCTCTGTCCTCTCTGTATCTGACGTGGTCTCTGTCCTCTCTCTATCTGACGTGGTCTCTGTCCTCTCTCTATCTGACGTGGTCTCTGTCCTCTCTGTATCTGACGTGGTCTCTGTCCTCTCCTCTGTATCTGACGTGGTCTCTGTCCTCTCCTCTGTATCTGACGTGGTCTCTGTCCTCTCCTCTGTATCTGACGTGGTCTCTGTCCTCTCCTCTGTATCTGACGTGGTCTCTGTCCTCTCCTCTGTATCTGACGTGGTCTCTGTCCTCTCCTCTGTATCTGACGTGGTCTCTGTCCTCTCCTCTGTATCTGACGTGGTCTCTGTCCTCTCCTCTGTATCTGACGTGGTCTCTGTCCTCTCCTCTGTATCTGACGTGGTCTCTGTCCTCTCCTCTGTATCTGACGTGGTCTCTGTCCTCTCCTCTGTATCTGACGTGGTCTCTGTCCTCTCCTCTGTATCTGACGTGGTCTCTGTCCTCTCCTCTGTATCTGACGTGGTCTCTGTCCTCTCCTCTGTATCTGACGTGGTCTCTGTCCTCTCCTCTGTATCTGACGTGGTCTCTGTCCTCTCCTCTGTATCTGACGTGGTCTCTGTCCTCTCCTCTGTATCTGACGTGGTCTCTGTCCTCTCCTCTGTATCTGACGTGGTCTCTGTCCTCTCCTCTGTATCTGACGTGGTCTCTGTCCTCTCCTCTGTATCTGACGTGGTCTCTGTCCTCTCCTCTGTATCTGACGTGGTCTCTGTCCTCTCCTCTGTATCTGACGTGGTCTCTGTCCTCTCCTCTGTATCTGACGTGGTCTCTGTCCTCTCCTCTGTATCTGACGTGGTCTCTGTCCTCTCCTCTGTATCTGACGTGGTCTCTGTCCTCTCCTCTGTATCTGACGTGGTCTCTGTCCTCTCCTCTGTATCTGACGTGGTCTCTGTCCTCTCCTCTGTATCTGACGTGGTCTCTGTCCTCTCCTCTGTATCTGACGTGGTCTCTGTCCTCTCCTCTGTATCTGACGTGGTCTCTGTCCTCTCCTCTGTATCTGACGTGGTCTCTGTCCTCTCCTCTGTATCTGACGTGGTCTCTGTCCTCTCCTCTGTATCTGACGTGGTCTCTGTCCTCTCCTCTGTATCTGACGTGGTCTCTGTCCTCTCCTCTGTATCTGACGTGGTCTCTGTCCTCTCCTCTGTATCTGACGTGGTCTCTGTCCTCTCCTCTGTATCTGACGTGGTCTCTGTCCTCTCCTCTGTATCTGACGTGGTCTCTGTCCTCTCCTCTGTATCTGACGTGGTCTCTGTCCTCTCCTCTGTATCTGACGTGGTCTCTGTCCTCTCCTCTGTATCTGACGTGGTCTCTGTCCTCTCCTCTGTATCTGACGTGGTCTCTGTCCTCTCCTCTGTATCTGACGTGGTCTCTGTCCTCTCCTCTGTATCTGACGTGGTCTCTGTCCTCTCCTCTGTATCTGACGTGGTCTCTGTCCTCTCCTCTGTATCTGACGTGGTCTCTGTCCTCTCCTCTGTATCTGACGTGGTCTCTGTCCTCTCCTCTGTATCTGACGTGGTCTCTGTCCTCTCCTCTGTATCTGACGTGGTCTCTGTCCTCTCCTCTGTATCTGACGTGGTCTCTGTCCTCTCCTCTGTATCTGACGTGGTCTCTGTCCTCTCCTCTGTATCTGACGTGGTCTCTGTCCTCTCCTCTGTATCTGACGTGGTCTCTGTCCTCTCCTCTGTATCTGACGTGGTCTCTGTCCTCTCCTCTGTATCTGACGTGGTCTCTGTCCTCTCCTCTGTATCTGACGTGGTCTCTGTCCTCTCCTCTGTATCTGACGTGGTCTCTGTCCTCTCCTCTGTATCTGACGTGGTCTCTGTCCTCTCCTCTGTATCTGACGTGGTCTCTGTCCTCTCCTCTGTATCTGACGTGGTCTCTGTCCTCTCCTCTGTATCTGACGTGGTCTCTGTCCTCTCCTCTGTATCTGACGTGGTCTCTGTCCTCTCCTCTGTATCTGACGTGGTCTCTGTCCTCTCCTCTGTATCTGACGTGGTCTCTGTCCTCTCCTCTGTATCTGACGTGGTCTCTGTCCTCTCCTCTGTATCTGACGTGGTCTCTGTCCTCTCCTCTGTATCTGACGTGGTCTCTGTCCTCTCCTCTGTATCTGACGTGGTCTCTGTCCTCTCCTCTGTATCTGACGTGGTCTCTGTCCTCTCCTCTGTATCTGACGTGGTCTCTGTCCTCTCCTCTGTATCTGACGTGGTCTCTGTCCTCTCCTCTGTATCTGACGTGGTCTCTGTCCTCTCCTCTGTATCTGACGTGGTCTCTGTCCTCTCCTCTGTATCTGACGTGGTCTCTGTCCTCTCCTCTGTATCTGACGTGGTCTCTGTCCTCTCCTCTGTATCTGACGTGGTCTCTGTCCTCTCCTCTGTATCTGACGTGGTCTCTGTCCTCTCCTCTGTATCTGACGTGGTCTCTGTCCTCTCCTCTGTATCTGACGTGGTCTCTGTCCTCTCCTCTGTATCTGACGTGGTCTCTGTCCTCTCCTCTGTATCTGACGTGGTCTCTGTCCTCTCCTCTGTATCTGACGTGGTCTCTGTCCTCTCCTCTGTATCTGACGTGGTCTCTGTCCTCTCCTCTGTATCTGACGTGGTCTCTGTCCTCTCCTCTGTATCTGACGTGGTCTCTGTCCTCTCCTCTGTATCTGACGTGGTCTCTGTCCTCTCCTCTGTATCTGACGTGGTCTCTGTCCTCTCCTCTGTATCTGACGTGGTCTCTGTCCTCTCCTCTGTATCTGACGTGGTCTCTGTCCTCTCCTCTGTATCTGACGTGGTCTCTGTCCTCTCCTCTGTATCTGACGTGGTCTCTGTCCTCTCCTCTGTATCTGACGTGGTCTCTGTCCTCTCCTCTGTATCTGACGTGGTCTCTGTCCTCTCCTCTGTATCTGACGTGGTCTCTGTCCTCTCCTCTGTATCTGACGTGGTCTCTGTCCTCTCCTCTGTATCTGACGTGGTCTCTGTCCTCTCCTCTGTATCTGACGTGGTCTCTGTCCTCTCCTCTGTATCTGACGTGGTCTCTGTCCTCTCCTCTGTATCTGACGTGGTCTCTGTCCTCTCCTCTGTATCTGACGTGGTCTCTGTCCTCTCCTCTGTATCTGACGTGGTCTCTGTCCTCTCCTCTGTATCTGACGTGGTCTCTGTCCTCTCCTCTGTATCTGACGTGGTCTCTGTCCTCTCCTCTGTATCTGACGTGGTCTCTGTCCTCTCCTCTGTATCTGACGTGGTCTCTGTCCTCTCCTCTGTATCTGACGTGGTCTCTGTCCTCTCCTCTGTATCTGACGTGGTCTCTGTCCTCTCCTCTGTATCTGACGTGGTCTCTGTCCTCTCCTCTGTATCTGACGTGGTCTCTGTCCTCTCTCTATCTGACGTGGTCTCTGTCTCCTCTGTATCTGACGTGGTCTCTGTCCTCTCCTCTGTATCTGACGTGGTCTCTGTCCTCTCCTCTGTATCTGACGTGGTCTCTGTCCTCTCTTCTGTATCTGACGTGGTCTCTGTGTGTCTCTCAGTTTGCAGGGGGCCCTCCAGCTCAGGCGTGACTTTGAGAGTGTGCGGGAGGTGCTGCGGTCTCACGAGTCCACGATGCCCCCAGACGTGGTCCAGACCGCCCTGGCTCTCCCAGTTTTTGCCCAAGCCGATAACGCCATCGTGTGCCTCTTGCAGCAGCCGTCTCGCAAGACCTACCTGCAGTCCGGGAGCTGCGCGGTCTTCTCATGCTGTGAGTGCTCTTCATGTGGTCCTCCCGTGGTCTGTCTCCGCCCTCTAATCTCCCCTCCCCCTCGGTCTTCTCATGCTGTGAGTGCTCTTCATGTGGTCCTCCCGTGGTCTGTCTCCGCCCTCTAATCTCCCCTCCCCCTCGGTCTTCTCATGCTGTGAGTGCTCTTCATGTGGTCCTCCCGTGGTCTGTCTCCGCCCTCTAATCTCCCCTCCCCCTCGGTCTTCTCATGCTGTGAGTGCTCTTCATGTGGTCCTCCCGTGGTCTGTCTCCGCCCTCTAATCTCCCCTCCCCCTCGGTCTTCTCATGCTGTGAGTGCTCTTCATGTAGTCCTCTCGTGGTCTGTCTCCGCCCTCTAATCTTCTCCCCCCTCTCTCACTCAGGTCCTCCTCTGTGCCGGGTGGCCGTGGACAGCATGTCAGACAGTCTGCAGAGTCTGGACAGCCTGGAGAGGAGAGCGTGGGACGGGGACGTCTCTAGACGTGTGCCACGACACAGCCATGATTCCTACCTGCCGCACAATCAGCGCCAGTGGCTTTCCCTGCGTGTCAACAAGACATGGAATGGACTGAGCCTGCCCTGGGAGGGGCGAGAAGTGTCAGAAGGATGAGGAGCTCCTCACGTGGTGTCAACAAGACATGGAATGGACTGAGCCTGCCCTGGGAGGGGCGAGAAGGGTCAAAAGGATGAGGAGGCTTTCCCTGCGTGTCAACAAGACCTGGAATGGACTGAGCCTGCCCTGGGAGGGGCGAGAAGTGTCAGAAGGATGAGGAGCTCCTCACGTGGTGTCCACAAGACCTGGAATGGACTGAGCCTGCCCTGGGAGGGGCGAGAAGTGTCAGAAGGATGAGGAGCCCCTCACGTGGTGTCCACAAGACCTGGAATGGACTCGGCCTGCCCTGGGAAGGGCAAGATGGAGGAGGGGGTCTTCCAGGAAGTATGTATACAGAGTCAGCCGGGGACCAGACATAAGCCAACCAAATAAACCTTTACAACCTGCACCCCGCCCCCCTCGTGGATGCAGCACCACCCAGCATGGGGACTGGCCACATGAGCTCCCAACTTCCCCTCTGGCCGCTTCTCTTCAAAGACCTTCCCTAAGCCTTCTGTAGAGGACTGGACTCGCCCCCTTTCCCACCCATCTCTGTGATGTCACATTATATCTGTCCTCATCCTCTGGGTGGTCCCTCGTGGGTTGGTCCTCATCCTCTGGGTGGTCCCTCGTGGGTTGGTCCTCATCCTCTGGGTGGTCCCTCGTGGGTTGGTCCTCATCCTCTGGGTGGTCCCTCGTGGGTTGGTCCTCATCCTCTAGGGGGCGGGGACTCGTCTGATTGTTTTATATATTTGATATTTATTTTATATCAGAAATCTATTTTAATAAATATTTGTGATAATAAAATCGCCGACTTCTCTGCGGTGACACCAACCCCGGAGTATACAGCTTGTGGCCCCGCCTACCTGATGTCACATGGCCCCGCCTACCTGACGTCACACGGGCCCACCTACCTGATGTCACACGGGCCCGCCTACATGAGGTCACACGGGCCCGCCTACATGAGGTCACACGGGCCCGCCTACATGAGGTCACACGGGCCCGCCTACATGACATCACACGGTCTCCCCTACGTGTGCGGTAAGAGCGGTGACACTATAGGAGGATATAAGGAAAGGATTCTGTGCGGTAAGAGCGGTGACACTATAGGGGGATATCAGGAAAGGATTCTGTGCGGTAAGAGCGGTGACACTATAGGGGGATATCAGGAAAGGATTCTGTGCGGTAAGAGCGGTGACACTATAGG